TTGAAGTGGACCTGGTAGTACCTTATCCCAGTGAAATGTTTTCACCTATATATACTTAAGCTCTATACGTACTTACCAATAAGACTATATTTTGTTAAATCTATTTGATAATTTATGATTTTTACCAGTTACAACTGATCTGTAGCTTCTTTCTGTCCAAACTTTCAACTAGACAAATCTTTAGGAGTGTGAGCTCCCACATTAAAAAAAAATAGACAAAGATAAAGAAGGCTTACTGGAAACTGTGATTAGCCAGATATAACATGCAAGGAAGTTAGATTCTCTAGGCTTTTCTTCCTATGAATGTCATGGTATCATATATATGTGTCCCAGTATGTGTAACATTTATATGTAATAGTTAAACTCAAATTTTGAGCATCCATTGTTCTTTTGGAATTTTTCAGTAATGGAGTTTATTCTTTCACAGGTATCAAGGTTACATTTATACATACCGAGTGTCCCAGACAGAAACAGGTTCTTGGAGTGCTGAGGTATAGCTCTTTTATTTATTCTTACTTCTGTGGGTATCATGGAGATGTTTGAAATTTAGGCTGGTTTTATAAAAGAGCTGTCAAATCCTACATTCTCAAATATTCATCAGATTCAAATCACTAGAGTTCCAATCTAAAATTGTTCATGGATCATTAAAAAGTCTTTAGAGAACTTTGGTTCCAGTTCTGTTCAACCACCATTGTATGGAGTGGTTTTGCTTTAGAGAAAAGATTTTAAAAGGTTGAAGAATTGTGTCAACCATTTAGTGCCTATGCAAAATTTTAGAAAGCATATTAAAAAATGTATAAAATAATTAAATCAGCAATTATTTAGCAAATGATAATAATATGAGTGTTAGTGCTATGGAGGATTAAACAACATGACTCTTGTTTTCTAAAAGCTTATAATACCCTTGGGGAGATACAGCATGAAGAAACAGCAAACCTGTGCTTTGCTTTCCGGTAGATCTAGGTTCCAAGTCAGGTTCCCCATCCTCCCTGAGAGGTCTATGACCTTGTGCAGGTTACTTGACTTTTCTTTGAACCAGTTTCTTCATCTGTAGAATGAGCCTGAAAATAATCCCTTACTTATAGGGCTCATTTTGAAGATTAAATGAGTTAATGCATGTAAAGAAATCTTTTAGCCACAGGCCCTCCTACATAGTAAGCCATCAAAATGTGAACTTGCCCAAATTGCTAACACTATGATTGTATATAGTCAAGTTCCACATTATTTACCATAGCTGTTCAAAGAAGTGAGGATTTTCCAAGTATTAGGGTAATTAGGGTTGCTCTATGTGTGTGGAGGCAGGACTCTCAGCTGAGCCATCTGGGAAGGGCATAGTGAGGTGGAAAAGAGATAGAGGAAACATTGCAGTGGTTTTTAAGCTATGCTCTGCAAAATTCTAAGGTTCTTCTATCTGGGTGACTTGGAGTTGCCTGGGGGATTGCAGAAACAAAGAAGGTCATAAGTGGGTATGTTTTTGAGTCTGCAATTTGTCTTCAATTTGAGCAGTTCCTTTTTATTTTATCAACTGGAGCTCTGAGTAAGATTTCATTAGAAAAATGGGTCCTTATGGCTTTGAAAACATTTGAAAGCACTGTACTATTTCAAGAAATGCCTGTAGAATGAATCTATTTCCATGTGTGAGGGTAGTATATATTACCAATGTAGAGGTCTTTGCAGCTGAAATTTTTGCCCTCAAATGCTTTCTCTGATTTCTGACTTTAAAACATTCTATCTTTATAATGAGAGCACTTCATTGAGCTGTTTGAAACTAAATGCTAATATCTACCTCTGTTAATAACTCAACCAATCTATGCATTTAAGAAACTCTAAAGCCTAGGCTTAAAAAAAAATTAAAACAGCTCTAACTTTTACAAATTCATCAGTAATCTAGAATGCACAAGTTGCAGATCAAAAATGTTTTGAACTACTGAGATGAATTAGGGCAAGTTTCCAAACACATTGTTGCTTTTTACTAGAATAATTAATACTACAATACTAATTAGAGGAAAAGCAATACCATTTCTGATCAAAACTATTTATACTGTTTATTTTTTAAAATTCTCTGCATCACTGCAGAGATGATTAAATAAAAAATTAAATTTCATTTATTATGAAGAATAGTTGTATATGACATATATACATATATTTGTATATAATTTGACCAGAAATAGCTCTTCTCCCTAGAGAAGTAGCCTTCAGCTGCTGAAGAATATTCTTTATGGAAAGGATCTTAAATTATTGGAATTTAGCTAACTTTGTCTTTAAATTTGTTTTCTTCCATTTCAAGTATAACATCATATGCGGATTGTTACATGCTTATTATGATCATGTTAAGGAAGAAAAGACCTATTGAACATAAGTACTCTCTCATTCTGTTGTCTGGTCTGACCGTGTTTATATAATAATATTATAATTCTCTGTACCAAGATAGCAGAAGATTGGTATGTTTTCTCCAAAGGGAAAAGTGTTTTTAAAAAAATTCTTTAGATTTATTTTTGAAATGCTATTGCAATTTTTTCTATCTGCTAAATTTGCCTTCTTAGTTATATTTTTGCTAAGGTGAATATTAAACTAGTGTGTATTCTCAGAGCTCATATCACCTGACTGGAAGACATTTCTCTAGAGCATATCAAAGACCAACTGTGATCCAAAACATGGATCCATACAGAACAAAGAAATGAAAATATGGGAAATATACAAACTTGAACAATAGCTGAATTCAGTGACAGGATGGAAATTGTCAGTGGTACAATTGTTGCAGTAATCGTATTTTCAAAATTGGGTAACTGGAAGATATTTACATGGCTTTCAGAACAATGCTTTAGTTTGGTACACTGCAGGGAAAACATGGTAGTAGCATTCTATGCTCTGTGCAAAGATTGTGCTAGAAATCTAAGTAAGTCTGAGATTTGTTTCAAAGAGTGGAATAAGATTGAAACCTGGATCCACTGAATTATGAAAGACAAATATTATATCAATTTCTAGTGTCAGATAGACTTTTAGGTTTTATCGTTTCCTAGTGTATTAACTTTTCTCATGTGACTCAGGCTAAAATTTTGCTAAATTTTTAATTCAGAGAATTCTACATACCATTACCTATCGTTTATTAATATTTGCATTGCCAGCAGTACATTGTAAAAACTGTACTAACTCCTGCCCCGCTGCTGACTTCAGTGCCTTTGGGCTTTTCTGGATAGTTTACCATCAGTAGATCAGTAGATGCTAAATAATTTTACTTATTAGCCTAAACAAATCACTATAAATGAAGTCAGTCATTTGCCAATGAAACATCATCCCAAATTCAAATTGCTTTTATAAATGCAGTGCTATTATTCTCCTCTGTATGGATAATCAAGAGTTAACTGCATGTAAGTCTCCATAAAAAAAGGTGCTTCTGTTGATAAATGATTTTACAAGCCACAAGAACAGCTAAAGAGATGTGTGGTTTGAAATCTTTTCACACTGGGGAAGTGTATAGTTTCTCTTCTGGTTGGTGACTCTAACTTCACTAGAATCTCTTTGGTCTAGACCTGATCTGAAAGATAAGAGACTAAGTCCTGGGATCTAGAACCACTTCTGCCTCTGATCATCTGTGAGACCTTGGGCAAGCTGAACTATCTCTTTGTATTTTTATTTTTTCACCTGTCAAATGGGAATAGAATAACCAAATCAACTAATAACTGCCAATCTCTGAGGAACTAGTAGGGGCAAGAGATGAAAAAGTCCTTTGAAAATGAAAAAGTGCTGTAAGGAAGATATAAGGGGGTATTTTGTACCTATAACCTGCCTTTGCAATTTGGAGCTTCTATCTTGGAGCCAACGAACTGTTTGGACCCCTGTAAGAATGGCCATGTTATTTTGGGTGAGATCGAGTTCTGGGAAGATGTTTTGACCATAGGGGTAGAGCTGAATGTTGAGAGTGTTCTACACCTACTGACACTCCTAGCTGTGGACACTAATTTAACTCTCAAAAGAACTTTTCCAGTGCTTTCAATGAAAAATTACCTTAAGGTAAGAAATGCCCAAGAGTTACTATAGACAGTGTACTATCTTCAGCTGTTAGTCTAGTTGGCAGAAGTCTGCATGCCAGCCTTCATATTTTCTTATTAAATGCTAACAAACAGCTCTCACCTAAACAATCTTCCAGATGAAATAGCTGAAAAATGGCTTTCTAAAAAAACAAAAATAAAAACAAACAAACAAACAAACAAAAAACCCCAACAAAAAAACCTAGTCATCATTCAATTGCTTATAGCAATACTATTTTATTTCATGTAAAATGACAGTTTTGAGTTAATGTCGAAAGTTTGGCTCTTAAGCTTTTGCAGGAAATTGTTGTTGATTTCAAGTTGTTTCTTTGCAAGAAAATTGATGTCAGGAAAAGAATACATTTTAACAGTAACCTGGAAATAATGATCCCTTCAAAAACAAACAAATAAATAAAGGTGACATTATATAGTCTTTCATTTTTGTGTCATAGACAAAGCTTTGTCACAAGTGAAGTGTTGACAGAGAGGGTAATTTGGGGGAGGATATAGAAGTTTCCCAAGGAGGAAAAAATTTAATGTGAAGGATGAGGCAGGACATATTGTGAGGTGAATGTATAAGGACTAACTAACCATGCATTGTATGTATCATAACAGTCGTGTAGCATTTTACACTGTGGGATGATGACAGGGAGGATGTGTTGTTTTTTTGGTTTGTTTTGCTTTTTGTTTGTTTTGTTTTTGGTTCTTAAGGCTTTCTATTAATGACCCGTAGGATCTATGTTTTTCTTGTGTTTAATTGTATCTTCTCTGTTGGTGAATTCATTGTGGGTAATTGCCTGTATACCCTTAGAGGTTCAGGATATATGATAGGTAGCAGGTAGAAAGGGCAAGGCAATGAGCAAAACCTTGTACAAACTGATACCACCCTTGGGAGAACTGAAATGACAGCTCATTAGCTCCTCTTACAGGGAAATTCAGCCAACTGAAAAAACAACATTCTTCTGGAATGTTGTTTTTTTAATTCCTTAGGTTTTCAAATATTTGAATAAATTACACAAATGTTACTTCTCTAAGCATTCCTCATATATTTTGTAGGCCTTTTTGTATCATTATGAGGTAGGTGAATAATTTGCTTGGCCTTTTATTTTCCAGACAGCACCTGGGGTACATAAACGATTTTTCCGGAAAATAAAAAATCTCATTTCAGCATTTCAGAAACCAGATCAAGGTATTGTAATACCTCTGCAGTATCCAGTTGAGAAGTCTTCAACTAGAGGTACACAAGGTATGGGTTATTCTTAATTAAAAAAATATTTTTAATTACAGTTGACATACAATATTACATTAGTTTCAGGCATACAACATAGTGATTAGACATTTATATACCTTATGATCTGATCACCGTAATAAGTCTAGTAACTATCTGTCACAGCACATAGTTATAACGATATTATGGACTACATTCCTTATACTGTACATTCCATCCTTGTGACTTCTAACTGGAAGTTTGTACTTCTTAATCCCCTTCCTTTTCTGCCCAGACCCCCACCCTACTGTTAATTTTTGACAGGGTTTGGAAGCTCAACCTATTCATAAACATATAGTTATAGGAAGTTTTGTAAGAAAAATACAATGAGAAAGTAGATGTAGCCAGCAAATCAAGTGAGGGGAAGCTATTTACATGCTACGGTTTCAATATGATATACTATGAACTTTTAATAAAACTCTGCAAAAATATAAACAATTCTATGAGCCCACATTTAACCTCTCTTGCTCCATCTTGTTCTTCCCAGTCCCTTTTGTCAATACATAAGTACCGTTTCACTTCACTAATTCAGACACAAATAATTTGAAAAATGGGACAACTCAGAGAACACCTGAATGTCCTTTATCTTTGCTTAGTAAAATATATTTCCCCTTTAGAGATGAAAAAGCTAATGTTAAAAAAAGAAAAGAAAAAGCTATGTTAGCCTGGCCTGTGTCATCCTGATTTTTGAATTTGCAGTGCTTATATTAATGAAATTTTATTGTAGCAAAGAAATGAAATTAGTAGGCTTCATTATTTCACAGGCACAAATTATTACATTTTCCTGAGCAAAGCTGTTTTAGTGTACGTTTCAAGCTAACCACCGAATACTAGCCAATGTCTGCAGCTATCAGCTATGAATTGTTTACTCATCTATTGAGAGGGGTCAATCATTTGTTTGGAGTAAGAGAATATGCCTGAGTGAAACAATAAATATTTATGATAAAAGAAAATGTGTTGTTATATCCTTTTTTTTTTTTTTTGACAGGGACCAGACTCAGGCATACAATGACAATTAGACTCAAGTAGTAAATTAAATTAATGAATAGTTAGCTTTTATAATAGAAATGGAAATAGAACTCCAATTTACAAATTGGCTAACTGCTCTTTGTTCCATATTCCACTATCTATAATTCAGCATTACATACTAGTTGCTTGAGCTGTACTATTGGGTTGCATCTCTGTGAGCTTTATGCAGTTGGAAATTTTACAATTATAAATTCAAGTTAACCTATAATTTTAATAGCTTATAAGTTTATCTTTTCTTGACTTTTGTTATTATTTTTCTTTAGGGAGAAGAGAAGATCCTGATGTCTTCCTGAAAGCACCATGAAGAAAAATAAAACCCCTTGTACTTTATTTTTGATAATTTAAATATATGCTAAATATTATATATTGTAGATAATACAGTTCAATGAGCTACGAATGCATTTCTAAAATAATCATAGTCCTGTAATGGAGGCATCTAGCATGATCTTAAAGCTGAAATGAACTTTGTGGATAATGAGGAGCAGGAAAACTAATTCTACAAGTTATTTTCAGTTATTATATTTACAAATGGGAAATGATTTAAAACATAATGATGCTTTATATAAGATTAATGTTAATTCTTGCTAAATATAAATAAAAACAATCCTGTTTTTTTTCAAAAGCACCATTTTTAGTGAAATATTATTTGATAGCTACTGATTTTTTAAGTGTCTTGCTTGATTTTTAAAGCTGGTTCATGTCCCTCATTTTTGTAATGTGTAGTTCTGCATTAGGCATTATGCTCTCCACTAGCTATGGTGTTGTAGGCTTTTTTTGAGATTTATGAAGCTGTCCACTATGTGCTAAAACAAGTACTAGATAAAGAGTGAAGAATTTTCATTTAATTCTGAAAGCAACCTTCTTGCCTAGTGTTCTGATTTTGGAGAGTAAAATCTACAGACAATCTTGAGTTTAAAAATCTTACAATTTAAAATATGCTCTAAATGTTTATTACAGTTGATGCTATAGGATTTGAAATTATATCACAAATCCGATGAAGTGGACCTGACTTCTTTTCATTTACCTCTGTCTGCCTCTATTGTTGCTACTCCATGTAAAACTTCATTTTGAAGGGGAAGCTTCATCAGCTAAGGCTCCTCAGCTGTGGCTCAGAAGTGGCTGGTATATGAGGAGTCTCCCTATTAGATAGCCCTATAGACAATTGAAAAGCTTATGGTTACATTAATTTTTAACAATTATAAGTAATTGCAACCTAAGTGAAAGTCAAGATTTTACACAGTGATGGGAATTTGTATTTTTTTTTCACATTTTATGGTTTTATGACTCTTGCGATTTGATTATATGTCAAGTTGCTTCAGAGCTCATAGAATTCATTCACTTAATACACACACTAGGCACTGGGGTAGAGAAATAAAAATATACCTTGTCCCTGCACTCAGGCAGTTCACTGTCTAGTTGAACAAGAAAACAGTAACAATTAAAGACAAAAGAAATACTGCCATTTGCAACAACATGGATGGACCTTGAGATAATCATGCTAAGCGAAGTAGGCCAGACAGAAAAAGTTGAAAATCATATGATATCACTTATATGTGGGATATAAACCTAAAAGCAACAAATGAACAGGACAAACAAACAGAGACTCATAGACATGGACTATAGACTAGTGGTTACCAGAGGATAGGGGATGGGGGAGGAGGAGGGAGGTAAACGGGGTAAAAGAGGTCAAATATAGGGGGGTAGGGAGAGGGTGAAGTGGGTAAAGGGGATCAAATATAAGGTAGCTGAAGGAAACTGGACTTTGGGTGGTAAACACACAATAGAATATACAGATGTCAAATGATAATGTACACCTGAAAATGATATAATTGTATTAACCAATGTTACCCCAATAAACTTAATTAAAAAAAGGAAAAAAGAAAAAAAACAATAAAAAACAAGAAAATAACAATAAAAGGTGATAAGCACATGGTAAATGAGGTTCCCAATATGTAGGTACATTTGTATTTAGAGGCATAATGAGTCAACAAAAATGCTGTGGTCCATGGTTCAGAGGAAAAGGCTAAGTTTTATTATAAACGAATAAATTATTATTCTAGGGTGTAGGTGAGTGGTGATGAGCTTGGTTACTAATTAGTGAACTGCCAAGAGACAGAGCTACTTCTGTGTGCTGGCAAGATCTGATTTCTGAGCATTTAACATGGATGCTATGGAAGTGCAATAATGTATTGTGGGTTGTTTACCATTTCTAGAAGTAAACGCATTATTTTAACTTGTAAAGGAATTCAGAAAACTGACTTTCAAAATAAAATGCATATGTTTAGATACTTTTTCATTATTTGTAGTTCAGGTTTAAATTTTAATAGGTATAACTATTTTTTTACTCTAATTTGTTCATTCTGGAATAATCCTAAATATGTGAATTATGATTGCCTGTTCCTTTACTAGAGCCTTTTTTGATAAAGCCTTTTTGAATCATTAATGATCTTTCATATTTTAATAAAGTACTTGAAAGCTTATTTAACCTAATTTGTCTTAAAATATTCCTTTGAAAACATTCATAGATAGGTGCTATTCATATATTAAATAAAATATTGATGAAGGCCATCTTACTTATCTTATTAGACAGATTCCTTGAAAAAGGTGATGCTTTTATGATTTTGCTACTATCAAACTTTCCAGTTGATGTGCTTACCCGTTGTCTTCTTTGCTGGCCTTTTATTCATCAAGTTCTGTTTACTTTTTCTTTTCCAGCATAAGCATCCTTGCTATTTCCCGACTTCTATTAGCTTGCACCTTTACAGAAAGGTCATATCCTTGCCATGTTTAAAATATTGCCATGCTAACATATACCTGTAAGATGCTGAGTCAAGACAGAAAAATGCTCATATATTTCTAAGTGTACACCTCAGTTCAGAAAAAGTTAACAAGTCCACAAGAAAACATGACAGTTTATCAAATACTTGTTCATTTTCTCTGAAATTTGTTCTTAAGAGATAAGGTTAGTAGGGAGACCAGTTTAGGTAATTGTCAATTTGGCTGTTATCAGAAGGGAACTTTGGTGGTAACACATAGGTAGAGTAAGTCTACAGAGATTACCTTTGATTAAGTCTTCTGGTATAAAAGGCTGGATTTAAGATATTTGTGGTAAAATGGACAGAGGATTTAAAGTGAGAAAAAGCTTTAAAACCTGTTAAAAATATTTAGACATCAACTTATGTTTTATTTGATTTACTTTATTGAGTTCAGAATCCAAAGTCTATTCATAATAAAACTTAGATTTGCCCTTGAACATTTTAAGGTTACAAGATGCCTAATCTTTCTGTTAGTGGACTATAAATTCAGCTTTGTTGTCTATGTTTGCCCTTGTAGTAAATGGGATACCATTATTTTACAGTTTGCAGTTAGGGGTAAAGTTAAACTACCCAGTTTTGACACTTTCATAATTTAGGATTATTGACCAAACTTGTAAAAGGCTGAATTTTCATCATTAGGTCATTTGACTTTTAAAATTAATATTTTTATGTATAAAGATATAACAAACCTAATTGGAGAAAGCTTATTAACATAACATATGAGATTTGAATTTTCTTTTCAGCTTTGTCACTGATTATCTGTGTGACCTTAGATAAGTCAGTCCGTTACTATTATTGCATTTGCCAGGTAGGAACAATTAAGTCTTGCTTACCTTACAGGATTGCTGAGGTGCTAGAATTATATAAATTTAAGATAGCAATATTACTAAATGTGTAAATAGCATTGTTAGTCAAAGATTTCTAAAAGTGAGGGTGAATAGGAAAGGAATATGGAGAAATCTCTTAACTCTTTAACAATTCTCTAAGTGTGAGAGTGCCTGACTCTTTCTTTTTGCACCCTGAGTGTAGGTTGCATATTTTGAAAAAAAAAAATCTCCAGGTGATACTAATATCTATCCCCATCACTGTATTTGTGTATATATCAGTGAATGAAAAGGCAGTAGGGCATTTTAAAGTGTTGTCAATTCCAGGATTCCAAGTCAGTTTCAGTAACAGGCTGTTTGGACTATAGGTACTCCATTATTAACAACTTACATTTTGGAAGGTCTGTTGGTCAGCTTTCCCAGTGTCACTAGTAAATTTCTTATTGTGAAAAAGCAAGTGCCAAATGGCGATTGTAAATTGCCTAAGACATAGGGCTTCAGAAGAGTTCTTGTTTTAGAGTCTTTCCTGATTACCTCTCCTGGCCATTCATTTTTTTTAACAATGCTTTTGGATGCCCTGCTCTCCCCCCACCCACTTTACAATTTTTTATTTTCTTTCTATTGCCAAGAAAAGCATCCATAGGAGAGAAAAATCTTTTTAAAAGTTATAGTCTAGAGGCATTTAAACTTTCAACAGCTAATGACATTAAATGGTCATTAATGTCAGAGATTCTATTTGTATAAAAAATAAAAATGAAGAGATGTCTGCTTAGGATTAGTGCCATTTTGATTTCTGTACCTACATTTTCAAGATAACATGGGTTTATTGTTCCCTATTAAGGAGCCACTTTTCATATCTCAGGTTACCAGATTGAGTTGAGAATGCAGTTTGGCACGAGAATAAAATAAGACACAGTGTTCATTTGCAATTTTATTTTTTAAAAATGAAATATTCAAAGTACTTTTTTTCTTTCGAATATCAACACAATGTTTAACTTTAAATATTTACAGCATGTTGTTGTGATGCTCTTGTAGAAAAATGCATGCTTCTGGACTGAAAACCAGAGCAAAATGCAAAAGACCATTTAACTGCAGCCAGAGAACATGAACTTGTACAGTTTCCAGTCACTTTTCAGCACAAGAGTAGGAGCAGGAATACAAAATTGGAACCTATTGTTTCCTAGCAACACAGCTCAGGCCATTATAACACAATTTTCAGTATGATTAGAACCTTTCACTGTTGTTATATAGAAACTGAAAATCTTGGCATACACTGTAAACATCTTTACTTTTCATGAGAATGTAAGCAGCTAAAAAGAATATTTTTCTGACATAAAGTATATACTTCTCTTTTTCACCTTTTTCTCTTATTGATGCTTTTGCTGGAAGAACAATAAAGAGTTAGACATTGTCATGATTCATACAGATAAAATATTTTTCAAGGACACAATCTGATATACTAACATTTATTAAGAGTCTACCACTAAATCTAAGGAAAGATTTTTAACTGCCAAACACATTTCTTTTGACAAATAATATATGATGACAACTGCTAAGACAAAATCCATAGCAAGTTTAACTCTAACTATTTTCAGTTACTGTTTAGGAAGTGATTTCTTCTTACATACAGTAGTATATTTTGTCCCTAATAGCTTTCACATGAAGGACACACTGAAATAACAGTCACTATTTTGTGGTGGTTGTTATTTGGGGGGTTTTGTTTTGAATTTTTTTGTGTGTTTGTTTTGCAGAATAAAGAACTTTGTGGAAGAGCAGTCTGAGGTCTGAGTACTAGTCAGGTCAGCTATGCGTATGTGAATTTCTCCAAGAAAACAAGAATGTTGCTTCCAATCTATAGCATTCTGGTTTCCACAAGCTATAATACACTCCAAAAGTTTCTTTTAATACTTGATTACTGTACTTTTGCTTCCATTAACCACCGAACATCACTACAATTGCCCTTATAGGAACATAACTTTATAAATGCAAAATCTTTGCCCCGACTCATTCATGGGGCCTGTTCTGTTTAAAAATATAAATTTAAAAAAAAAAGAAAGAAAAAAGTACAAATGACATGATGGAATGCTTAAAACTATGCCAACAGTGATGAAAAAGAAAAATCTTATGAAAATTGTAATTTAATTTTATACTTCTCTATGTATTGTCAAGTTTTCATACATTTGGCTATGTCGTGTGTGTGTGCATATATATATATGTGTGTGTGTGTATGTATAGTCTGTATATTACAGATCTTCTACATAAATTGACAGCAAGGGACACACTTATTTTCTATATTATTTTACTGGGTTAAAAATAAAACATATGCCTATTTATATGGTGAGTGTTTTGCTAAAATTTGGATGTTATTTCCTTTTCAGGAGTCATGCTTCTAATCAATAATGGTTAGAATGACAACTAAAAAGAAATGTATTTAAATGTCTATTAAACTGAACTTTTCAGCTCATTTAGATCTCTAGATTGCAGTGCAAGAGTAAAAACAAAAACAAAACAAAAAAGCAATAATAAAATGGGCCTATCTAGGAAAAAGAAATAACCAGAGTATTCCTTGCCTCTAGCCCAGAATGTTCTTCATAGGAGAGCCCAACTATTGTGCTCTCACTCTAACTTGCTTGAATGGGGTATGGCTGTGCAGTGTCAGCAGCCCGTCTTCTGGGTATGAGAAATTCATTTTTCTCTTTAAAATGCTTTTACTTTCATCAGGAAATGCTAATGAATTGGTCTTTCATTAATTTAAACTTCAGAACTACAAGTCAATGAAGGCATTCTTTGTATTCAGCCAAATAGGAAGCAATGTACTCAGTATCTCCATTCTTATT